GGAAAGAGGACAAATAGCAAACAATATGGACAGACAACATACACAAGCTAGTTTTCTGCCATCCTTCCACGCCTTCAGTCTCAGTTCCTTTTAGTTGCTTCTGTTTAGATTCCTCTCTCATTTAGTTCCACTAGCTCCAGATACTATGCAGATGCCTCTAATTTTTTGATGTATAAATTTAAGACTTTATGAATTACCTTCTACTATGATGGAGGAGGATTAGCTCAGACCAACTCTGTCTTTCCTCACTCTCTGACCAATCTTACTAGCTGTTTTATTATTTTCAGTTACGGTAATATGTACATAACATTTTATGGCTCTATTAACTTAAGTCGGTATTTCGCATCTTTCTGTGAAGTAACATTAATAATTCTTACGTCCACTCTTCCTCCCTAACTCTATTTCCCACATTCCCATAGAAAAAACTGTCAACATTCACCTCTATTGTCAAGATTCTAGTAGCCTTTACGTTCTCTTTTGTCCAAGGTGTTAACGTTTACACACTACAAGTGAATGGTGTTTTGACTATAGGCCTAGCCTAACATTTGAAAACTAAAATTGACATTGTCATCATGTAAACCGAGTGGAGTATGGCTACATGGTGTGTCAGGATTACTTTTCTTTGTGCTAATAAAAGAATATTCTTGAGAGTAAAGATTAATGCATTCACTTACCTTAATTGCTTAATTGTTTCTTCAAAATTTTGTTTGGAGTTTTATGAGGTAAAGTTTACTTATATAACACAACACACACATTTCAACTGTGTGATATGAATTTTTGACAGATGCTGATGCCTGAGGTCTGCGTAGCCCTGGCCCATTTTCAACACCCCAGGAAGTTCCCTCATGTACCTTCTCTCTCTCCTCTGTTATCTGCAGAAGCAACCACTTTTCTGATCTTCTTCACTAGGGTTAGCTTTGCCCGTTCTGAGACTTTATATAAATGGAATCATAGAATATTGCTTTGTTCCTTGATTCCTTCTCTCAGCATGATGTTCTATGTATTAATAGTTCAATTTAGAGTTTTTTTTTTTTTTTCCTGAAGGTATATACATTCAATGAATATACTAGTTTATCTATAGTCTCTTGTTCATGGACATCTGGGGTGTTTCTTGATTTGGTTTTCTATTATAAATATACATATTATTTTCTATATCTTGCATAAATACTTAAGAATGGAATTGCTAGATATTATAGTAACCGTATGTCTACTTATTATTTTTATTGTATCTTATTCATTTGAGTTTTTGCTCCTTTTTATTCAAATCTCTAATAAAATTGACATTTGTTAGTGCCTTTTTAAATTTAACTTTATTTATTTATTTATTTATTTCAATTTGGCCAGAGAGGGACAGAGTGAGAGAAAAGGAAAGTGAGAAAGCAAGCCACCACATCTAGGACTTGAACCACAGTCGGCCATGTGGGAATCCAACACCTTTAAATACCACACAATCTGCCAGTCCCTTAGTGCATAGTTCTATGAGCATTGACAGATGTATTCAAGTTATGTAACCATCATCACAAGGAAGATACTGTCCCATTACTCCCCCAGATTTTCACAATTCCCAGTGTTGTCAATATTTCCCCCTACATTGGCCCTGAGAACTTCTTTCCAGTTTCTGTCCCCACAGAACTGTCTTTTCCAGAACATCATATATATGGAATCATATAGTTTATGTAGTGTTTTCAGTCTGACTTCCTTCACATTATATAATGCCCTTGTGATTCATCCATGCTGTCTTGTGTATTAGTTTGTTCCTTTACCTTGGTGAGTAGTATTCCATTATAGAGATGAAGCACAATTTGTTTAATCCATCCATTAGCTGAAGAACATTTGGGTTATGAATATGCACAGATTTTTATGTAGAGATAAGTTTTCATTTTACTTGGATAAATACTTTATTTTTAATTAATTAAAACATTTTTTCAAGGAGATGCATGTGCTTGCCAGCAAAAGAGAGTGAAGAAGAAAGCATCCTCCAATGGAGCATAGTCTTGCCACAATTCCTCTTTCTCCATTTTTCCATCCTGGGTTTTTGACCACTCATGCACATGCGCTCTGCATGTTTTTCTTTTTCTTTTTTTCGGAGAGATTTTCGCTATAGAGCGCGTGCGCTCGCCAGACAGACAGAGAGAGACATAGAGACAGAACGCGAGAAATCACCCCCCAGGGGGGATGGTCACGCTGCAATCCCTTCTCCTCCATTCTCCTCTTGGGATCTTGGGCACGCACATGCGCCCGGCGTGAGTTTTAAGCCACCGGGTCCAGGATGCGAACCGCGGTCGACTACTTGGGAGTCCAGCAACATAGCCATTTTGTTAACTGCTGGTTCCCGTGCTCTGCATGTTTTTGAGGGACTCAAACTGTGGTCTGAGGCTCTGGTGCCGGCCCTACTTGGATAAATACTTAGAGTGAGAGTGTTCCCGTTAAGTGCCATGATGAAGATGAAACCCAGTCGCTATGATGCGTGTTAAAGGATAAACTCAAAGCATTGTGGGTAAGATTAAATTAAAAATTGTGTATAGTGAAACTGACACAATGCCTATCTAGCACATTGTAGATATTACCAGTTGATGTCATATAGGTTTTTTGTTTTGTTTTGCTTTGTTTTGTTTTTAGAAGTTTTGCTATAAGGCATGTGCTTTGGCCAGGAAGACAGAGAGAGACAGAGAGACATCGGGATCTTGGGCACCCACATGCCCGGCATGAGTTTAAGCCACTGGGTCCGGGACTCATACATACTGCGGTCGGCTACATAGCCATTATGTCAACTGCTGGTCCTGATGTCATATAGTTTTAAGCTCCTGCTTTAAAATGTCTTTTAGAGCTGCTTTTTTTTTTTTTTTTTTTTTTTTTTTTTTTTTTTAACTCCCGGGGGGGGGGAGGAGAAAATAACTCCAGTGTGGTGGCAGAGGAAACTAAAGCAAAGCAAAGAGAAAGTGATGCATAAAACAGTCTTAGGAGGGTTTTGAAGACTACATCAGGAATGGATCCACCTGACTACATGACATCTCATTCAACTGTAGAATCTGAAAATCAAAGTGATAGCTCTTGGACTCACAGAAGCAGTGTGTTCCTTCCTCACCTAAACGGAGGCAAAGGAACCCAACTCAAAAATTTGTTTATTCACCTGAGGGTGTTAAAGAAGATTCATCAAGTGACTCATTGTTTTTGAACCAAAACCATTGACTTTAATAGCTGTTTTTGAAAGATTCAAGAAAAAGAAATGAAAGAAATATAAAAAAGGAAACGCAAGCCAACAGAAAGACCAAGGGGATGACCAAAAGGAAGGAAAACACCAGAAGGTCAAAAATAGATAAGAAATGAGTTAGAGACAAAGGCTATAAGTTACCATTTATAGAATCGAAGAGTAGAGGAAACAACATCACCATCGAGGAAAAATTTAACCTTTGAGCAAGCTGTTGCCAGGGGATTTTTAAACTATATTGAAAAGCTGAAGCATGAACACCACCTTAAGGAATCCTTGGGTAAAATGAATGTTGGTGAAGATTTAGAAAAAGAAGATCTTGATAGTTGTAGATACAAATATTTGGATGATGATGGATCCGTTTTTCCTATTGAAGAGCCAGAGCCAGTAGCAGACGATGAGGCAGTGAGTCTTGAGCTCGAGGATGAATGTGATATCAAGTTGATAGAGGATTTTTGCTTTATGAGAAGTTCTGAATTCCCAGTTTCCAAGAAGATGAATGCATATTTAAGACAAGAGAATAATACTAAAGAACCTGCTTTGTCTGAAAAGTGAGCTTCAAAAGTCAAAACCTTGGGCAGAAGACAGAATGACCCTATAATAAGGCAGGAACATGAATGGAAAAGAAGGTAAATAATACAGAAGAAATAGTGACATTTCAAAGAAATATGCCAGCTTGGGGAATGAAGAAATTATGTCATGATCCTTCTAAGACTGCCTCTGAAAAACTTTTATGAAAGTCCTAGAGAATAATAACTAATTAGGAAAAATAATAAAAAATGTAAACATCATGGGAAAGCTAAGACATTATCACTTAATAAACAATGAACAGAAACATAACAAAACAAAACAAAACAAAATTCCTTTTAGAACTTCTGACATGTATCCGAGTGACTAATGATAACGTTTTGCACTTAAGGGGAGGTTCAATTTTTAGAAATGTTAGAAGTCATTTCTTGGCTGGGCCTGGTAAAATGAGCAAGAGAGCAAGAAAGGTAAGACCTTCATCTCAATGAAGCTGAGTTGTACTTACGTTGTTCTTCTTCATTCTCAGATTTTAGAGAAAAAACCCACATGAACACATACATTCTGGCATATTTGTCAAAATCAATCATTCTTTTAAAGTCCACTCTCATCATAAGTTTTTGGCTTTAAAATAGAATTTTCTTATCTCTATAGGTTTTGTAATTCCTCTAGTGGACAATCAGTAGTGGTTCATTCAATTTTCCTATTCCATCATATCAAGCCTTATTATAAACTTATTATAAGTCCAGTGTCTCAACTACCATGCTACCTGCCAGCCCCAGTGTGGCTTTTCTTAAGCATTGCATTACCACTAAACCATTCAGCCTGCCTTCAGTCCAACTTTCTTAAAACTCAGTAAGCCACACTTTTCCACATTTTAACTCTTAGTAATACATGGGAAGATTATCTCTGGTTGTTAAAACTAGTTCTACTGCTCTAGCAATAGTAAAAATCCCACCACCTCTCTAACCAGTAATGATTTTCTTGTTGACCCAGCAAAATTTGGGGAGTGGGACACGGTGTCTTATTTTCCAAAAATTGGCACAGCAGTCTCTCAATCTGGGGAACTTGTTTTCTGTTTTATGTCCACACCTTACTGAGGTAAACATGCCTAAGTATGTCATAGGTTGGAATAGGTATGTCTCAAAAACCCACTTCAGAGAGGTGGCAACTAAATTTGCTTAAACTTACCTGCTGGAGGACTGTTCTGTTGTATGATGACGCCCAGGCCCTTCTGTCTCCAGGCACAGATTTCTGACTGGAGCATCAAAAATGTGGCAAACAAAACAAAATGAAACTTGTTTTTAGCATCTCTTCTTCTGGTTTCAGGTGACTTCCCCCAAGTTTGCATGCTTTCATTGTATCTTGTATCAATAGGTGATTGACTGAAGATGTGGCAGACAGTTTTGAATTTTAAATATGGGCTTCCAGTATCTCTTGTCTATTAATAAACTTTACCTCACTTATTGTGAAAATATCAGCTGTCATTATAGCTTATTTTAAAATTATTTAGAAAGTATAATAATATACCAGTGATTTGGTAGTGCTTTCTTGGGTAAAATACCAAAAAATCAGGCAACAAAAGCAAAAGCAGGTGACGTATACTACATTAAAATCCAAAGCTTATGTGCATCGAAGGACATAATCAACAGAGTAAAAGGCAACCTACGTAATGGGAGAAAATATTACAAATCATGTATCTGAAAAAGCCTTGATATCTAGAATTTATAAAGAATTTCTGCAACTCAAAATGAACACAATAACTTTATTAAAAATAGGCAGAAGAGGGACCAGAAGATGGTGTAATGGTTATGTCTTTGAACTCTCACACAGTTGATTGCGGGTTGAGTCCTGGACACAGCGGCTTAAACCTCATGCTGGGTGCATGTGAATGCGAGAGGAGGATGGAGGAGAAGGGATTGCCCCATGGCCATATCCCCTGAAGGTGAGTTCTTGCTTTCCATTTCTCTGTCTCTGTCTCTCTGTCTTTCTGTCTCTCTGGTGAGTGTACATGATACATAAATGGCCAATAAGTGCAAGAAGAAATAATTGACAGCAGTAATAATTAGGGAAAAGCAAATCCAAATCACAATGAGACATTACTTTTTACCCACAGGAATATTTACTATAAAACAAAAGACAGGAATGAAACCTAGAAAATAAAAAGTGTTGGTAAAGATATCGAAAAACTGGGGACCAGCAGGTGGTGTGGTGGTTAAGGTGCTGGACACTCCCACATGGCTGACCACAGTTCACATCCCAGACCTGGTGGCTTGCTTTCTCTCTCTCTCTTACTCTGTCCCTCTCTGGTCAAATTAAAAATATATGCATGAATAAATAAAATAATAAATAATTACTAAATAAAGAAAAAATGGAAGCCATGTGCTATTGATGGAAATGGTATAGCTGCTATGTAAAACAGTGTGGTGGTTCCTCAAAAAATTAAAAATCAACTTACCATATGTGTCAACAATTCCTTTTTTGGGTATATATCCAAAAGAATTAAAAGCAAATTCTCAAAGGGATAGTTGTATATTATGTTCATAGCAGAATTATTGACAATGGCCAAAAAGTAGAAGAAACACAAGTTTCCATTGTTGTGCCTTTTACCACAAATTTAAAAAGTATCATAGTAATATAGCTGTTGCCAAAAAAAAAGTCAGTCATAATAAAGTGTGTAAAGTATGAAGTTAAACTCTTCCATGGTCCTACTCCTAACTGTTTAATCCCAATTAAACAGTTAGAAAATTGTTTTGCTTTATGCAAAATGAATGAGGCATAAGGTCTTTCTATGGCAAAGTAAAGTAGACCAAACTCGCCTATGTAACCAATTTTTTGTTCTTTAACACAATCAACAGTTGATAGGTAGTGTTGTTTCTTTTTCTAGCTGATGCTATGTGGATAAAAAGAGAGAGAAAAAGGGTAAACTGAAACATCTTAGCATTACAATGGGCAAGGCATTGTGTTGATTTCTCTATTAAAAATTTTTAATCTTGCCCAAGATGGTACGGCTTTATCTTTTATTATGCTTCCATGGCAACCAGGTCTGTCTTCACCATGACACTTTACACGATGTACCTTGTTAGCTCTTCGTAAAGCAGGGTCTGTGTTGTGCCCAAAGTCATATCTCCAATGACAAGAACAGACAATGAACATGACATACATGCCGCTAGTATTTGCTGAGTAAATGAATAGTAGTATCCTCATTTTACAACTCATGACACTGCATTTCAAAAGGGTTAGACGAGGTCAGAGAGCTGGTAAATGGCAGAACTATCATCTAAATTAAGTACTTGACTTTCCTTATTGAAAATACAGGCTGTCTCTCTGATCTTCAGTTCAGGTTCCTCATTCAGAGAGGCTACGGAGAGGGCCACGGACATACTAAATGAAGTAGTGAAGTAGAATTAGGGATCCGGCTCAGTGGATTCAGAAGCAAAATTAAGTCTGACATGTATGATGATAGCAGTCGGCATTTACAATAACTTTATATGACATTAGGTGACATTATATATTCATTAATTAGTCTACACAATACTCCATTATGTGAGTCTTCATTACTGAATTTTAAGTACTTCAGAAACAACACTGAATTAGCAATTAAACCAAGCCACATGAATAAACAGACACTGTAAAGCATTCTATGAAGTCAAAATGAACATTCATGTTCTTGGGAGTAAGAACTCAGAAACCAGGCTTTTTTTTCAGACTATAAAGAAAACTATCCTTTCTCCCTTTTCTAGGGCATTGTTCTCATGAAGCAGATAGACAATTCAATGAAGCATCCAAGTGAATGGGTTTTTATATTTAAGCTAATTTTTCAAAAGTAACCAGTTTTTTTTAAAAAGTTTATTTCTAATTTGTAGAACATTAGTCAAAGGGGCTGGTAGGTGGCATGGTAATTAAGATGCTGGACTCCCACATGGCCAACCATGGTTTGAGTCTTGGACCTGGTGGCATGTTCTCTCACTTTCTCATCAAATTAAAAATAAAATAAATAAATAAATATTTTTTAAAAGCAGAAAAAAGTTTAAAATACACATTCTATTTTTTAAGAATTATTTTTTAAATTTAACTTTATGTATTTATTCATCTACTTTAATTTGACTAGAGAGAGAGAGAGAGAAAGAGAGAGAGAAAGTAAGAAACAAGCCTTCAGGTCCGGGACTCAAACTGTGGTAGGCCGTGTGGGAATCCAGCACCCTTAACCACCATACCACCT